CTGTGTCTCCCTCTGTCAAACAAATAAAATCTTTTGAAAAAATTAACCCTGTAATTTTTTCAAAAGATTTTTTTTTGAGAGAGAGAGAGAGAGAGTGTGTGCACGAGTTGGGGGGGGGGGGAGGAGCAGAGGGAAAGAAAGAAGCACACTCTTTGCTGAGCAGGAAGCCCAATGCTTCCCAAATCTAAAATTTGCCTACTTACTTCTTTTGTGGTATTTTGCCATACAAGGTTTTAGTTTTTATATATTTTAACATATCTGATATTTATTTTGTGGCTTTTGGGTTTCCAGGGTTGGTTTAAAAGATCCAATTTGGGATCTTTCAAATGATTGTTGCTTTATAATTTCCTGTTTCTTTTTCTAGAATTAGAAAACATAATTAGTACAGGTATTGTCAAACTGTCCTAATTTCTTTTGTGTATTTGACATGGAAAATTTAGTATTCTTTTATCATTGTGACTCCTTCAGCTCATTTTCTTTAGCTATGAAAATGAATATTATAATCATGACAACAGATGCTGTTGAATGACACATACATTCACCTGTTTTGATAGCAATTTATTAAAAAAAAAAAAGATAGTGATTTATTTTAAAATGGGCTGAACTGCCCCACTATAGAAAAAGATCTGATTAAAATGCTGCTTTTATTGAGTTTTAAAGTTAACATGTTTTTAAAACTATCTTAGTGAAGATATTTGAACTGTTTAATAATTAGATGAGTTAATCTCATCTCCTTCTCAGGACACGGACTACTTTCCTGTATTATCCTAACATTTATTACTTACCCTCCAAATAATCATTTGTATTATTCTAAAGCATTAGAGATTAATGGTTTTTTGTTATTGTATACTGCAGCAAAATAAACAAATCTTCCCTCTAAAGCTATGAAGAGGGAAGTGATATAGAAACGCGTAAGATGTGTGCTTGTTGGTCAGAAAGCACCCAGCCTTCCTCTCCAAAGTGAGCACCTGAGAGTTGTTCCCTGTGTCTTTCTTAAGATGTGAAAAACAACCAGAAGAGAAGTTATGACTAGTGAGATTTTGTTTTCCTCTCTTATAACTGCACCTTGTATCATTTACTGTCCTCAAATTGGAGACCACAGCCAGCACTAGTAAGATTTTATACCAGGTGCCTTTGAAGATCTAGTAACAAACAGGATATATTAATAGTATTATATTAATATTAAGCATTTGCACAAAAATGTATTACTACTTATTATAATTATATAAAAATACACGTACATACCTGAACTTCCCCATCATGTTGATTAGAATAATCTGTGGGGGGATTGTAACTGGAACAACATCATTTCCTTCAGAAAGTGAGGGAATCGGAGTCTTACAGAAATCAGTATTTTTCTAAGATCATCAAAAGTTGTCTGCTACTATGAAAACTCAGGTTTGTTTTTAGCAGGGTAGTGCTCAGAGACCGTTTTTTTTCAGGCTCCTATTATACTTACAAAGCTGGCCTTTTCTTTCTAAAAGAGACTTCATGGGGGGTGCCTGGGTGGCTCAGTCAGTTAAAGTGACCTACTCTTGGTTTCAGTTCAGATCATGATCTCAGGGTCATGAGATCCAGCCGGTGTCGGGCTCTGCACTCAGCATGGAGTCGGCTTGAGATTCTTCCCCCTCCTTCTCCCTCTCCCTCTGTTCTTCCCCCTGCTCGCACTCCCGCTCTCTAAATAATTTTTTTTAAAAAATAAAATAAGGGGTGCCTGGGTGGCTCAGTCGGTTAAGCGTCTGCCTTCGGCTCAGGTCATGATCCTGGAGTCCCAGGATCGAGTCCCACATCGGGCTCCCTGCTCAGCAGGCAGTCTGCTTCTCCCTCTGACCCTCCCCCCTCATGTGCTCGCTCTCAAATAAATAAAATCTTTAAAAAATAAAATAAAATAGACTTCATGGCATGAACACCCTGCCTTTTGTGCTAGTGAGTGGACCCGTGTGTCCAGGAAAGTGAGAAAAAGCCAAGCATTCCTCTCATATTGAGGTACCCTTTTCTCTTCCTTACATTGAAACGATATGTTCCTGTTTCCCGTGTCTTTTCTATTTCTCCTTCACACCAGTGAACAGCAACAGTTGAAACTGTCCTATACTCACTAGTCCCAGACATTTGCTGCCTGTAAATAGGGCACAAAGTCCATCCAATATCTTATTTCTCGAACACTTTCGGCTTTGTCTGCAATTGGAAAATGACTACAGCCCCTGCCCAGGATGGGCATTGCCTATCCTAAACCAGTACGAGAACTTAAAACTGAAACTCAGGGAGCAACTCTTAGGTGCTCACTTTGGAGAGGAAGGCTGGGTGCTTTCTGACCAACAAGCACCTGGCCCTGAACTCTACTAGATGCAAGTGGAAGGTCAGATGCTGGGGTCACCAACACATCAGCAAAGGGACAGCAGGGTCCTCAGAAGCCAGTGCTGCCTTCCTGTCTACACTGTACCCTCGCTGGGAAATGGAATAGCTCACCTCTGCTATTAATAATTAGAAGCAGGGATTGATCTATTTCGAGCAACCAAAACAGCAAGCCTTCCCACGTAGTCTAGGAGAGAGATGCAAGTATTCTGAACATCTCCTACATAGCTGATGTACTGGCAAATCATCTCGAGCCAGGATACTGATCAGAACCAGAGGAGCAACCATACAATAATACACGGGAGGTGCTCCCAAATAGGCATGGCTGCACTTTGTGAGAAGAAGCAACTCTCACCTGAGGCCTCCTGATGAATCAAAGACAAGGTCTCATCAACATTCCAAACATAAGAACGATGGTGAGGAGCACCGTTTCCGTTATCCAACACACCACACACACCACCTCAAAGCATGGTGGCTTAAAATAGGCACCTTTTTGTTGTTGTCGTTGCCCACACGCTGTGGGCTGGCTAAGCTCAGCTGAGGGGTTCTGCTGGTCGGGCTTGGGGTGTCTCATGAGGCTGCTTACAGAGGGGAGCACAGCTGGGGTTGGAAACTCAGGGTGGCCTCTCAGTCCTCCAAGCAAGACTTGGCAAACTATGACACCCTGCCCCGGGCCAAATCTGAAGCACAGCCTGTTTCTGTTCTGCCGCAGGCTAAGAATAGTTTTTACATTTTTAAATGGTGGAAGAAAATCTAAAGGAAAACATTTCATGACATGTGAAAAATAGTGAGATTCAAATTTCGGTGTCCATAACATTTTACTGGCGCCCGGCCCTGCTCACTGTTTGCACACTGTTTACAGCTGCTTTGGCACCGCAATGCTAGAGCCACATCAGAATTCCTCAGGCTTCCTCCTAATCTTTACCGAAATCTACATTTTGAAAATAAGCGCTTGGCATAAACACAACTGTAACTGTTTAACCGTCAAAGCTACCTTTCTTTGCTACAGCAGTGCAGCTGAGAACCTATTCCCAAACCAAATCATAAGCAGGTTTCTCTAACCCCACCAGCTACAGCATGCAATTGGAGGCTTGCAATTATTTTATTTCAAAGAGGAGAAATGAGGGGCGCCTGGGTGGCTCAGATTATGGTCCCGGGGTCCTGGGATCAAGCCCCAGGTCAGGCTCCCTGCTCAGCGGGAGTCCTGCTTCTTCCTCTGCCTCTTCCCCCTGCTTGTGCTTGCTCTGTCTCTCCAATAAATAAAATCTTTAAAAAAAAAGAGAGAAATGAAATATACGCTGATTTTTTAAAAAGGGGAATTGGAAACAAATATCATTTCTGCTTTTACAATACGAACCCCAAATGCCTTTCTAAACAATAGCCGGAAAACGATGAACATGAATAGATACAATCCTGTCCCTTAAAGAGCTCCCAGTCTGGCAGACAGTTGGACAAGTAAACAGTGCGGTGCAGGAATTAATATCTGACCACTGAGGAGCACAAGTATGATGGCAGCACAGAGAGTAGGCACCCAGCCTGGCTCAGGAAGGTCTTGGGTGACTTGCTCAGGGAACTGATGGGAAGGAAGACAAGCGGGATTGGCCCAGAAGCCTTCCCAGGTAGCCCCTTACGGCCTGATGGAGCGCAACCTGCCACAACCAATGATGCACTGCCCTTGACTGGCGTACTCATTCATCTTCCTCCACAAACCTGCAAATCCCTTTAAAGGCAGAAACGGTGTTATTTGCCATTTCATCTTCAGTGCCTGCTCTATTATCTACAGTGGCTGATGCGTAAGAACAATCTGATAAATGAATATGCACAGGTTTCTAGGATGAAAATATCTCTTCTCTAAAATAGGTTACTGTTTAAAGACTCTCTTGTATGTCTATGCCATGCTATATTAAAAAAATCTGTACTAGTGAGTGTTTGAAATGCCAATACCAAATATCAGAGGCAGGAACAGGATCGGGAACCATGAAGATGCAAAAGCAGACAAGACATAATCACTGTTCTCCATAAACTCACAGCTTGAACGGGAGGTCTCACAATCGCCACCTACAACTGAACCAGAATAGCCTTTCACTTGTTTATAGTTTGGCAGTCGACAAATACCTCTTTTGAATAAAGGGAGCATTTCTTAAAAAAATTAAAAAGGAAAACCTTGATCAAGTTAATGAGAAGGCTAAGCTTTCCTGAAATATTTACATATTTTCCCCCTCCATTTTAAGACTAAAAGGAAATGGAGGGAACTGAGAACTTCCTCCTGGATTTTATCTTACTTTTTCCTCACTAGTCATCTTTAGCACTTTTCCTGATACTTAATATATATGTACAATGAACAGATGTTTACAATAATAAAATTGTTCCTTCTTATATGTCGCAATATCACCTAATATTTACCACTATCCAGAAAAAAAGCTTCTATGCATATCCTCTCTAAAATTACCACAAAATATCTCCAAGATTCTATACTTAATGCCAGGGATACCAAGATGTTTAATTCAAAACCATTACCTAATTTCTGTATAGCATGTTGGATTTTAAAAGCATCTCATTTTCAAAATAAGATGGTTTAAATCACTTTAAAGACCCATATACAGTGACCTTTCTATGATGTTTGTAGGGAAAAATGAGCCAGAACCATATAGGTACAGTATTGTTTATTATAAACAATCACATAACAGTATAAGTGTGCATTTGAAGGATAATTGAAGCCTAGATATGATCATCAAAAGCATTACTTAAATAGAAATGGTTTCTTTTCTTGTTGGTTTGTGTTACATTAATTTGAACATATGTCAGGATCCCCTAGTCTTGTCATACAGTTCAACTGCTAAATCATAACAGGGGAAGACAAATTTGGAATGCACATTATAGTTTGCTTTAGTTGTTGAATATACATACCAAATATTCAGGACACATTCAAAGTTAAGCAGGTGCTTAAAGTCTAGCAGGTGATATTTAGAAAATGCTTTTGTTGTTGCTTCTAATCCCTTAGAAGACAATGAAAAGGGGATTCTAAGTGCTAGTGCTATGTTGTTGTTCAACTTTTCCTGATTTATACTGGATGTAAAAAAAAAAAAATAAGGTAAATGTGTTGAAAAGTGACATCTTTATAGTTCCAAAGCACTGGCAGGTAGTAAAATATCATCTAACTAAAGCAAACTTCTCACATCTCAATTTTTAAACAGGAAAAGAACAGAAAACAGGCTTGAACAACACAACAAATGTTCTGGGTCTTCAGAGCAGGCCAAAACGTTGTTCTGTATTGCACGACCCTTGTCCATGGCAACCTTAAAAATGTTTGGCATTGTTGGTGCCTTTAAATGGCTTAGCATGTCCACTTTGCTAGTTATCCTATAAAGGAATGCTATTACATTTTGGGGGGATTGTCCATCTAAAGGAATGAATGCTACATGAGCAAACGTGGAAGTCTGAAAGAAAATGCTACATTACAACTTTGGACAATTCCTGCCAGCAAAAATGTTAAAAGCCTGATGAGAACGTGACTAGTTACAGTGACCGGAGGGTTAACTTTTCTGAATTTCACTCGTATCCTAATTCGGACTTTTGGTGAGAGAGGACCGGTGATGATGCAAATGTACCACTTTAATCATTTGTTTTTCAAAGGATTAACACAGGCTCACTGGAATATTTTGTCCTGGTTTTACCAAACCTGCATGAACATCCAGGTTTGTTATTTTTTTTTAATGTAATTTATAAGTGACCAGTTATGATTAATTCTGTAAAGGTATAAGGTTATCAGAGGATGAGTTTGAGCATTTGTGAAGAGATCAAGAAAGCTATGTTAGGTCTCCGGAGCAAAAACCATGTGTACTTATGCTCTCACAGAGCTGTACTCATGTGAGGAAGACTCACCGTATTAATGCCTTTTCCAAGAAAAGAGGAAATGGGAAAAAAACTGGAAAATAGGGAAGTAAGGGGAGAAAACAAACAACTTTGGGGCGCTGAAGAAAAGTAGAATTTCTCCAAGGAAGACTTCATCTCTTACCTGATTGCTCAGAAGAGAAGGGAAATAAGTTTCAAAATAGAGATAATTAAGAAATCAGTTACATTTTTTCGAGCGGAAGAAAGATCGTTAAGTTTTGTTTTGTTTTAAAAGTTCTGAAACATGAAGATGTCTACACAGGTTTCCTAACAAGACTCTCAGCTCCAGAGTCTGGGGCTGTCTCTGGTTTACATTTGAGTCCACAGTACCTAACACTGTATCCGGCCTGTATAGGGGCACAATACATAGTGGAACCAATGAACTACGGGGTTTTCTAAACACTAAATGGACCACCTAGTTTTAACGTAGAATGTACTACTTTCTATTGCATATATGAAAGTTTCTATTAGGTAACACTAGTCCTTACAAGAGGTGACAGTAGGAGCTCACTCGTATATATCTTTTTCACAGGATCATGTCTACCTTGAATACAATTTAATGAGAAGCAACTATTGTGTGCTCTAATGCTAAAAAGAGTTGAGATAGAATGCATAAATGAAGAAACCTCTTGGATTACCGAAGTACCGTCTGTTACAAGCATAATTACCTTCTTAAATTATACATTTTTAAGAGGGTGTGAAATATTTTTCGAAGCATTGCAGTGTTCAGTGGGTGAGAACTATATATATATATATATATATATACACACACACACACACACACACACACACACACATACTTATATATGAAAGTACCTAGAAATGTGGGGAATTATCCTCTCCTCTCTTTATCATCCAAGAGTAAATAAGAACAGGTTTTTAATACCGTACATATATATTTTAAATGTCCCACTCTTCAGTACCACTGCTCCCCAGAAATTATAGGGGTTACGAAATTATTATTTTATTTGGGAAGTTATTTCCAGGTATGACGCTTCAGCTTTATAAGAGGCTACCAGCTGTGACCAGCAGATCGAGACACTAAGTTATATAACTCATAAATTTGACCCCAGCAATGTGTCCAGATTTTCCCAAAGGCTTCACCACTGTTTTAGTCATCTGTAAATAGTATGTGCCAACATGTAGGGGAAATAAGGCAAAAGGAATGCCCTCGCCACAAAGTCTTCCAGTGGGAATGTGAGAAGGTGTGATTAAACATACGATGCTTTTGTCCAACCCTCTTACTTTACTGCTTTTTCTCCACCTAGGATTTACACACACGGTCCTTTAGCTCACTATGCAGACTCGGACATCAGCCAGATTGCTTGACTGGAATAACCAGGAAAACAGGGGCCCGATTTCTGATGTGGAGGTCACCCTGGGTGATTCTCGGACTCAGTTCTGGTTTTATTTTGCAATTTGGGGATACAGCTCATTTCATGCTATTTTCATATGAATCTTCCCATGTATTGGACTCATTATTTTTATTTTTACAGTGGTAGATCATGAGGCAACATGACTCCCAGCTTCACAGTCTCTTTTCCAATCACAGTTTAAATCTGTTTCAAATGTACCATTAATATCAGCACAACAGTCCAGTTATAGGTATTTCAACTTGGGAAATAAAATAATTTACGTGACTTATCTTACATAATTAATTTTACAAGCTTTTTTTTTCTTCTTCTTCTTGCCAATAGCACTAAAAGTGAGATTGTTTGAATGTTACGGGTTTGACTGCTTTCTTTTGTCTGAAAGTGTCACTTTCTCTAGTGCTGCTAGTACCCTGATTTGTAAGATATAAACAGTTTTGACATTTTTCTGGTAGGCCACACAGATGCCTTTAATGACACGGCTGACTAATGCTGCCTCTTTTTCCTGCCAACATTTTTCAAATTCTATTGACGCAATTGCCTTTCATTTATTTCCCCCCACAAAAGAAGCCGCTTCTTCTTATAGCATAGGCACGAAAAAACTGCTTTTCTAATCATGTTGTACTGGCATCAGGTTAACTAGAAATTCTAGCACAAAACAACCGGTGATAAAAAATACGAATAGTATATATTATATGTATTTACATTATGTACTTAGAAACTTCAGTTAATTGCAGATCTGAAATGCTATATAAGCCACTGCCTGCAATAGCATCTATTCTATAGAAATGTAGCTTAAGACATGACTGGCTGTTAAGACACTGAAGAAATCGGGTTATGTGGAGAGCCCATCTGAGTCAGAACCTTGTCCAACCACTGCAGTGGTCCATGAAGATGAATCTCAATCCAGCAGGGGGTGCTTGTGACATCCTGGCGATGATACTCAGCTCCCCAACCCTGGAAAGCAAGAACAGAGCCAAGAGTGATGGGGCCAGACTTCCAGGTCAGCCTCTAGACGTGCGAGACAGGTGTGGGTGCACACAGAGCCCACACCCCAGAGCAGCTCCTGAGAGCCGGGAGAGCGTGCGCTCCACCTTCCTGTAAGTACAGGACCATTTTTGCATCACCCAGACACCCGAAGATGAGTCCAAATCAAAGGATTCCCTCTGAGCTCACAGCTCAATACACGGACCTAGAGAGGTCTGGTCTCTAGGCACGTTGGAAACACTGGCAAATCATTTTCTCTTCCACAAGGGAAGGAGCCTGACTTTACGTTCAATCCCTTCCTGCTGAAGACAGTGTTTTGCACAAAACAGATGCTCACTACAGACCAGTGAGTGGATGTGAAAGGTGTAAAGACAGAAGTGAGGGCGCTCTTGATTATTCAGGGTTGGCTAACAAAGCGTGTTTCTCCTCTCTCTCTTTTTGGCTCACTTTTGGCAATTTCTAATTTATTACCATTCGTGGGAGAGACAGTAAAAATAAATAAAAAAATAAATTGGTCTATCTTTTTTCTCTGTATGTTATACATCAGTGACAAGTAATTTTAAAAATGAAGAGACATAACACATCACTGTTATTGGGAACAGTGATTATCTGTAGTTCTTAAAAAATTGGATTTCAACACAACCATGCTGCCTGGTCACACTTTACATTCGTGACCACAAGCCTCAAGTGTATCTCTGATGCCACCTGCAATGAATGACACTCCCCCAGTCCCTGTGCTCTCCCACTCCCCCCACACGCCAAATGACTGCTCACTCCTGCTTCTGTTCCCTAAAACGTCTAACACCTACTCCCCAGTCTGTTTGTGAATGATAACCTTTTTAAAAAAAAAATATTTATTTAAATTCAATTTAGTTAACATATACTGTATTATTAGTTTCAAATTTAGTGATTCATCACTAAAATTTAGTGATTCATCATCAGCTGCATATAACACCCAGTGCTCATTACATCAAGTGCCCTCCTTAATGCCCACCACCCAGTTACCTCATCCCCCACCCACCTCCCCTCCAGCAACCCTCAGCAGTTTGTTTCTTCAGAGTTCAGCATCACTTATGGTTTGCCTTCCTCTCAATTTTCATCTTATTTTAACGAGACATGAAGCAATCAGAAGAGTTTCCACAGCACCTGCGCCAACATACTCAGCCTTTCTACTTCTCACCACAGATTATCCATCTTCCAAATAAGCCGGTCCATCCAGTTGTGCATAAGGCTCCACTGCCTTCCCAAGGACATCATTCCAGCAAATCTCCCCATTGTCTCCTGCAATATTTTGTTTTCTGCTGGATCATTCCCATCAACATAGGAACATGCTGAAATATCTCCCATCTTCAAAACACTTCTCTTGGCCCTAACACTCCCACCACTTACTGCCCAAATTTTTGACCCCCTTTCTAGCAAAAACCCTCAAACGAGTTGTCCGTACTGGCTGTATGGACAATTCCTCTCCTTCCATTCTCTCTTAATTCTATTCTGATCAGCATTTAAACCCCAGCCTTCAATGAAACTATTCCTGCTAAGATCAAAAAGGACCTCTACATGCTAAAATTAATGATCAGCTCTCAGTCTTCCTGTTCCTTGGGCAGTACGTGATCTCCTCAACATACTTTCTTCTTTTGGTTTAAAGAGCGCCTTACTTTTACTTAGTTTTACTACTACATTGGTTACTCTTTCTCAGTTTTCTTTTCTGGTTCTTTCTCTTTTCCCCTATCTTTTAAGGTTGAAGCGTCCTAGGGCTCCGTCCTAGAAGCCCTGATCTTCTCTGTTAAACTCACACTGTTGGCAATTCCATCCAGGCTCATGGATAACACTGTGCAAACGCTTAAATTCCCCAATTGACATCTCCAGCCCAGCCCTCTCTCCCTAAATCCAGACTCATACATCTGTCTACTCAGCATCTTCGCGTGGATGCGTGTCAAACATCACGGAGTTATTCTCACTAAAACTGAAGTCTTAATCTTCAATCTACACCTGACCCACCTGCATCTTCTCCCTCCTGGGTGGAGGCAACTTCATCTCTCTAACTCCTCCTTTCACTTACCCCCTCACCCCCATGGAATCACCTGTGCAACTCAGAATCCTTCCCCTTCTTACACCTTCTGAGAATGCTCCTCCTAGTGGGCGCAAACTTCAGCTCTCATTTGAATACTGCAATGGCCTCCAAGCTGGTCTCCTGGCTTCCATCCTTGCCTGCACAGTATCTACAACCCACATAGCAGCTATAGTGATCCTTTAAAAATATAAGTCCGATTATGAAATTCTCGGCTCAAATCCTTTCAGGGGCTCCCCATCTTGTTAGAGTAAAAGCTGAAATCCTTGCGGTGGATCTCACACCCCCAAGCCCCACCCCCGGCTCCCTGACTCATGCTCCTGACTCCGGCACCCTGGCCTCCCCGCTCCTACAAATGTCAGGGGGTAAGCTCTTGCAGTGTGGTTTGCCCTTCCTCTGTGTCTACTGCTTCCCCTCCACATACCCTTATGACTTAAGTCCCCTGTCTCCTTCAAGTCCCCACGGAGGCCCACCATGCCCATCTTTTTAAAACTTGCAACCCACCCCTACCCCAGCACTCCAATTCCCCATATCCTGCTCTATGTTTCTCTTTCCATTCACATTCTTTATTATAGCTGTTGTTTAGTGCCTGTCTCTGCCTATAGAATACTGAGTCCATGAGGGCAGAGATCTTGAGGAATCAGTGATGTATCCCAATGCCTAGAATGGCACCTGGTGTGGTCCATGGTAGGCGCTCAATAATATCTTATTGACTGACCGACTGAGTCCTGGAATCAGTAAAAATCAAAGATAAAAGATGCCTCAAAGATGATCTAGTCCATCATATCTCAGTGGTAGCCACCAGTCTTTAGTCCTATTTCTTTTTTTTTAATTTTAATAATGTTTTATTCAATTTGATCTATCTAAAATATTATCCTATCAATACATAATTGATATGAAATTACTAATGAGATATTTTACATTATTTTTATATGTACTCTCTTCCCCCCCGCCCTGGTTTTGTTGAGCTATAATTGATATATACTGTGTTAGTATTAGGTGTACACGTAATGATTGGATATATGCAAGATGATCACCACTATACATTTAGTTAACATCTATCCCCTCACATACTTACACATTTCTTCCCCATGATGAGAACTTTTAAATTTCTTTTAAACTGATTGTCTGTTGTGATATTTGCAGTATTATTGTTTTCTGTGAATTGTATAGCTTTATGAAATAGATCGAGCTGATCTTAGGACAATCAGCTGTCTATGCAAGCTTATGTGAGTGAAATAATTACCTCTGACGTACTGGCATTTCATCCTAATTTAAAAACATGGACCTGGAAAAAATAACTGTGAGTCAGATGGTTGTTCGTTAATGGCAATTTAATGCCCTCTGCTGGCCCCAAAGCATCAGAACATTTGGAAAGATTTCCAGGTAATTGCTAATAGCTTTACAATATAAAAATGCTTTTAAAGCTTAGCAGTAAATTTGCTTTGTCATCATGAAAGAAATGGTTTCAAAAAGCCATTTTCTTAACTGGAAACTATATTCTTGATGTTATTTTTAAAATATTTACTAAAATTATAAATACAATAAAAATTAGAGTATAGAAAAATAGGACAATTCTTTTTCATGGTAATCTTAAAGAATTAATAAATTTTACTTTGAAAAAAACCTGGAACAAGCCATACTGATTTCTTGGATGGATATGCGGCAGATTTAAAAGTGGATTGCACCCCATGTTTACAATAATTACTGAGGCTCTCTTGTACTGCTCCTTCTGTCACTCTCAATCTCACGCTTATTCACTCCAAGAGTAAGGGCTCACAATATTAGAGGCAAAGTAAATACACAATGCAGAAAACATCACAGAGTCCTTTGGGTCCATGTATCAACATAAAATAGAAATTGGGCACAGATAGTATCGTGGAAATGCCAGAGTTTGATAAACAAGCTCAGATTTGAAATATCAGAACTTTTTGCAAGTGCTTTGCAAGAGATGGAACAGCCAAAGACTTCAGCGTGCAAATCCAGTTGGTTTTCCTTCCCACTAACTTCCTCAGTTCTCCGAAACCTTCACATTAACGTTAGTAAGATCTAACTTGAGAAATTCGATAAATATTCATAAACAGAACATCTACTACTCACTCAGAGTTAATCATACACAACATAATATTTCTATCCCAATTTGTTTATGCCTTTATAACAGCACTTAATGTACACTAGCTTGTCTTAGAGCCACCACTGTCTATTTTGTAGCTTATTTATAAATATGATCTCCTCTGTTGGCCTGTATGCTAAGAGTAAGGGCAATGTTGTATTCAATTCAGATACATTCAACAACATTTATGGAGAGACAGCAGTGCTCAGGAATTTGAGAGATGAAAAAAAAAACGGCATCAAATCCTCTAAAATTATCATTGTCACTTCATCTTCTGCATGAAAAAAAAATCCGATTACTACCTTAACTTGTTCTTCCTTCAAAAGTAAAACGCTTAAGAATTTCCTTGTAACTGCTAAACAAGAGAGTTGATACTCCTGGAGGAGCTCTTCTTGGAAACAACGGAGCCAAGTTCCAAGAGAAACCCCCGCCAAAACAACAACAACAAAAACCCGGTTGCCTACTTGAACGGGTGGAATAGCTGCCACAGCACCCAAAGAATGCTTTGGGGGTTGTTTTATGTTGTTTTTCACCTTCCAGCTTACTATCTGAAAGCAAGCACGCCTCACCTTAACAAAGCTCATGCGGATAGTGCACATCTTAGTCAACTCATAGACGACTTCAAATCCGTGGTGAACTGACTGAGCCAGCAGCTGAGCAAAGAGCTGGTTGTTGAAGATCTTGAGACTGCAGCCGCTGGGGATCTTGCAGACGGTGGCCGGGTGGAAGCCGTGCTGATAGTTGCAGTTCCGGCTCTGTACAAAGATGCTGCTGTCGCTCACACACTCCGCGTACACCTCGCCCCCGACGTAGTATAAGTGCACCCCTGCGAGGTAAACACAGCATGCCTCAAGCACCAGCAGCCTATTTAGTTTAGGATTCACACCATTCCCTTCTCATTGCAACCTCAAGGTCTGTGACGATCTATTGAGAAATTAATTTCTATCCCAATTTGTTTATGCCTTTATAACTTTATAATTATGAATTATGAATTAATTTTAGTATCACCAGCCGTAGTAAGAAGTGTGATCGAGGGCGCCTGGGTGGCTCAGTTGGTTAAGCGACTGCCTTCGGCTCAGGTCATGATCCTGGAGTCCCGGGATCGAGTCCCGCATCGGGCTCCCTGCTCGGCAGGGAGTCTGCTTCTCCCTCTGACCGTCCCCCTCTCATGCTCTCTCTCTCTCTCAAATAAGTAAATAAAATCTTTAAAAAGAAAAAAAAAAAGAAGTGTGATCGAATGCCCACTTGTTCTGATGATACTCTGTGGTGTTTTTTTCCCATGAATCCATTTAAAAGTGGATTGCACCCCATGTTTACAATGATTACTGAGGCTCTCTTGTACTGCTCCTTCTGTCACTCTCAATCTCACGCTTATTCACTCCAAGAGTAAGGGCTCACAATATTAGAGGCAAAGTAAATACACAATGCAGAAAACATCACAGAGTCCTTTGGGTCCATGTATCAACCAAAAATAGAAATTGGGCACAGATAGTATCGTGGAAATGTCACTGACGTGCATACACTAAACCCACTTCAGAGGAAACAATAAATGAAGTTTACATTTTATTCCAACAACAATTACGGATCCATTTGTCTTAATAAATACCTCAAAGAGATCTATTTCATTTTAGAACTTGTCACCTGCTATTATAGATCACAGAAATAATGCCTGTATTTTACTTAGAAACAACGAAATTCTTGCCACCTTTTCAGATATAAAGACTCATCATCAAAATGTCACTTATTTTAACTTTACCTCACATTTTTGGACTAAAAAGCAAAACACCACCCTGAGATTGATGCTGCCCATACTAACGTTCACTCCAGATTAAACCTGAGCTGACTCTCTCCCCCAAGTGTCTGGGTTTAAGACTTAACATACATTTATAGCCTTAAGGGACTGGGGTTAGATAAAATGAAGATGTTCTAGTCTAGTGAACATTAAATCCCAGCAGTTTTCCTCCAGCCTTTCAGCAGAAACCAAATTCTCCAGCATTAGGGGTCAACGTGATTGCAAATACAATCGCCATGCGGTCACAAGGGGTTCACAGAAAGGATCCAGAATACACGCACATGGATAGATTTTGGGTCCCCTCAAACTGAAAATACCCATTTTTAAATAATAGAATTCACAGACCTCTGGGGGCTTCTGCATAGCCGTGCATTTAGAAAACCTCACTGAGAGCGCCAGCCACCGGCTGCCCCTGTCAGGCTCTCAGGAGCACCCGAGGCGACAGTGCATTAGCTGTGACTGCCTCCCAGCATATTTATTGTTTCCGTTTCCCATCTCCTTTCCCTTAATAGAATTTTAGAAAAGAATGGTTTTCAGCGCTGCGTATTCCAGCCACGTCACTGAGGAGACTGGTCAGGAGTCACAGAGCTGAAGCACGGCACTGGATGCTCAGTCCAGGCGGGATGCTCCTCACCAGCTGGGACATGGCTACCAGCTGCACTGACCCATTGGAGGGGAGGCTGGGGCAAATACAAGCAGACTTCCTTTCCCAGTCCCCACGAGCTCCCGGGGGGGAAGGTCTGCCCCTGCGGTGGTTATGGTTGTTCAAAAAGAGGGTGAGCCAAGGTGGAAAGAGCCAGAGAATGAGATGGCCCAGTGTTCAGGATGTATTTGAATTGAAGGACCTTCAAATTTATAATCCTCCCAGAACCTAAGTTGAATCGATAGGATTTTTGTTATCTGACTCTGGTCTTTATTTAGGGGATGATTTTCAACCCTGTGAAAGTATTATCCGCAACCACAGGCAGAATAAGGAAAGCAGAGAAGAGCCTGGGCAGACAGGCAGGAATTTAGTGCCCTGAGCAAAAAGAGTGGGCAGAGTCAATGGGATGAGCACATGGAGGCCTGAGTCGGCTCTGAAGGGCAGGACAAGGGTGGAATTCAACCCCATTGTGAAGGAGGCTGGGCTTTGGCTAGAGACAGTGGCATCTAAATAAAAGTCAAGGGTGCCTGGCTGGCTCAGTCGGTTAAGCGACTGCCTTCAGCTCAGGTCACGATCCTGGAGTCCCAAGATCGAGTCTCATGTTGGGCTCCCTGATCAGCAGGGAGTCTCCTCCTCCCCCTGACCCTACCCCCTCTTGGGCTCTCTCTCTCAAATAAATAAATAAAATCTTAAAATAAAAAAGTCAAGTAGGCAGATATTTTATTTGCATCCACTTGATAAGCCAAAACAGTGGCTTTAAACGACTTGTATTTTAGATTCAAAATCTCCATAGAGAACAGTGAGCAACAGGATAATGCCCTTCCTGAGATGCCAAAGAGGACCTGGGCAGTGTGGTCCTCAGGCAAGCTCTTCCAACATCTCTTGGGCTGCATCCCTCTCTACCCAGGCTTCCCATTTGTGTGTGACTGCCGCCTGTGTTCTATAAGATGAGGGAGTGTGGAGTCCTGTATTGTGGTTACTTAGGGCCAGAGACACTGTGGTTCTCATTTGGGTCTGCTAAGTCAGACTGCAAGTGTGTTCCCTTTGGGTCCTCTTCCATAGTCTTGAATGAGACAAAGAAATGACAGGAAAGACTGGGAGGAAGGTGGGTTGCTTCGGTTGGTGAGACGGTTCTGAGGCTCTGGACTCTAACAGAAGAAAGATAAAGTTAGAGTCCCAGAGTGGAAGGAATGCTGACTGGGAGGAAGGGACAAATACCAGCACAGAATGTAAGTCTCATTACCCCATCACCCTGCTCAGACTCTGGTGCCTCATCATTCCCCTTAGAATAATCCCAAACTTCCTGGCACAAACTCAACACCTTATCATGAGTTTGTAATCGATCTCCCCCTTGCCTTTGTTGCCCTGTCTTCTGCATACCATTTTAAAAACACGGCTGAATATCAGGATCATTCAGAGCTTTAAGGAAGTGCCCATTTCTTGGTGTAATAATGGTACTTTTATTTAGAAATCCCTTATATAAATATATAAATACTCAAATCTATGAAGAAAGGATATGAAGTCTGAGATTTACTTTAAAATACTCTCACAAAAGTACTGTGGAGAGATAGAGGATAAGAATGCACAGACTGGGGGCGCCTGGGTGGCTCAGTTGGTTAGGCGACTGCCTTCGGCTCAGGTCATGATCCTGGAGTCCCGGGATCGAGTCCCACATCGGGCTCCCTGCTCGGCGGGGGGTCTGCTTCTCCCTCTGACCCTCCCCCCTCTCATGTACTCGCTCTCTCTCATTCTCTCTCTCTCAAATAAATAAATGGGATCTTTAAAAAAAAAAAAAAAAGAATGCACAGACTGTGAATCATTACTGAAGCTGGAGAGGGTGATATGAATATTCATTACACGATTCTGTCCACTTCTGTATATGTTTGACATTTTCCAAAATAAATAATGTTTTAATGTATGATGAGAAAAGTAATAATATAAAAGCACAGATTTCCAGATCCATGCCAGGGCTTTGGTTCAGAGGACAGGCCCTCAGTAGAACGATGCCCGCGGTTGTGCACTGCACAACTCCAAGGGTGTGCCTCATAGCCTTCCAGGATTTATGTCATCATTATAAAGCTTCTCCAGAAGATGGCAGTAGCTTCTCTAGAGAAAGAGGCTCCTCGTACAAAGCCATACAAAGCCATCGCTAGGCTGGAGGCAAGGTCAGTCCCCCAAATCTGAACCTGAAAACTTTAAATCTCTTTGTACAATATGATGAGCAAACAGACTGGGGCCCAACTGAACTCCACGGAATGGCCCACCTCAGTACTCACACTCAGCTGCTCTGCTGGGCTGGGCTGCACGGAGATGCTTCTCAGCACTGCTGCAGCTATCCAGGCCTGCCCTGACAGGTCACGGCCCACACCCCGCCCATCCTCTCATGAGCAAGAAAGCCCACGAGAGACGACTGAGAAAATACAGAGATGCAGAGAATAAAACTCAGCCACAAAGGCACAGCCCAGAAATAATCAAAGCTAACATTTGTTATAGAACCTTTCAGTTTTCTCTTTCGTGCGTGTTTTTAAACCTCTCACCCTTCCCCCACTAAACAGTTTAATTTTACTGTACTAGCTTTAAAAGGGAATCCTTTTAAAGTGAAAATTCAGATCTGTAAACTCTTGTGACCTGGTCCTATCCCCTCTTCTACGACTTCCCCAATTCCTTACCCATTGTATTCCACTCACCCTGGCTTCCCTGCTCTTCTTACAAGGTATATACCAGGCAGGCTTCAGGGCCTTTGCACCTGCTGCTCCCTCTGCTTCGAAAGCTCCCCCTCCATGTGGCTAATTCCCTCTTTCTCTTTCTGCTCAAATGTCACCTTGTTAGGAAAGCCTTCCCTGGCTATCCCATTCTACTTTATAACAAGCTCTCCCCAATCTCTTCCTCTCCTGTGTTTTCCTCTAGACGAATCCTTAGACATATATAACATTTTTCCTTCTCTGTCTTTCCTTACTTATGTGTAACCCATGAAAGCCAGATTTTTTTGTTTTTGTTTTTGTTTTGTTTCTTTGATTCCAAGGAAACATCCCTAATGTTTCATCCCTAATGGTGGGACAGTCTGGCTAAGAATAGATGCTCAACAAAGATTTGTGAGATGAATGCCTATCTCCAAAATCTAAGCGTCTTGATTAATTAACTCCAAAGAACAAGTTAACTTATTCACTAATCTAGGAGGCATTTTGCTGCAAACTTATTCAGGAAGCCATGCTGCTCAGAACCAAATAATCCAAGGGAGCACCCTAGAAACAGTCCCCTGACTTCGTAAAGACTGATAGCTCTTCCTTTAAAAATATTCTAAGCTGATTTTTCCCCATGCTTTATGGCATGGCTTAGAGCTCCTCTAACTTTATTTTTTTCTCAGTAAAGCACTTCCAAAACAGCATTCTGAGAATACGGACTTCGCAGTGGGGACCACAAGAGGGTGGAGTGCCCTTTCATCCAGTGAGCACTTAGGTGGATGTCCTGGTTTTCATAAGAGGCCGTCAGTCCTAGCTCTTGTTCCTATGGTTTCTTAACTCGGGGATTAGCTCTCAGCCAGTAACACACAGAACCTCAACTCCCATGTCCGCATCAGCAGAACTTTTAACAAGATACTTGCAGAAAGATTCGCAGAAGGCACTCAACACTCCTTTCGCGTTTGAATTCTATCTTTGGACCAAGTGGCATTAGCCAAAGTCTCATACACAGACCAACCTAGAAAACAAAACCCGTCAGCACACAGCCCCACAATATTATGTTTTAATGTTCTGCCTTTAGATTTCACCTGAAGATTCTTATAAAAATCATTTGAAAGTAAACCTGTAGGAACTGAGAAATTTATTTAAGAATTCAGTCAAAGGGAAAGTATTTCCTTTGAAGAACGGCTATGTTTCCTTCTTTGGGATAAAATTACACTACCTTTGTGTTTCCACTTTTTGTCCTCCCTGTCAGGAAACCTAGAGCACAATTTTAATCGCAACCACAATGCTAACCTTTAGTTGTGTTCTCCTTCCCTGCTGCCCCCAGCCCCCAGTTTCTGATTTTCTATTTTTCATTTATCATTTCACTGCAAAGGTTTCCCATAAGCCACCTCAAAGCCATTATGGAAAAATACAGGGTATAAATAAACATAAATATCACCATTAGAACATCAATGAATAAATTCAGCCTGTTTCTAATCAATGGCTTATAGGTTTTCTATAACAGGGGACATTTAGGAGGTATGTTAGGAAGAATATTAGAATGTATCACCAAGTACAATAATGAATCTGCCCTGGAAATCTAAAAGAAAAGATTTGTGTCTACCTTCCTGAGGTGGCCTGAGGGCTGGATGGAGAGCGAAAAGATAGAATGACGCTAAAGGTTCTGTATAACTATGACTGCATGGTAGTCTGACAGAATAGTGGACAACCAGGTATCGAACACTACCAGCTACTCTAATACAAAGAAGATGATTTAAAGATACACAAGGAGACCTCACACTCAGCTGGGATTTGCTACCGTTGATCACACCGATGAGATAGACTTCAAAACTTCATTGGCCAGACCTCAGGGAGGCCTGTGTCCATCTGGCTTCCTAACAATGCCTGACCACAGGAGAACCCCAATCACTACCAAAGGTTTCCCTACATAAATAGTCATGATTTTCACTACCTAGCTTCTAATCTCCAAAGGTACTTTACCTGATATATATAATCACCCCGCCAGAATTCCTCTTCTGAAGTTTCCTTATTTAAGCATCTTTAAGGCAATTCAAACATTAATTCATGATACTTCTATTTAATAATTTCATCCTGCTTTCATATTTATCCTCTTGTTTGTCTTCATAATACTTATCCTACGCCACCCGCCGAAAGATGCTATGCTGACCCTAGAAGCAGAGAGACCACGAGGCTGCAAGCCTCTGTACCTTCTGCCAGCTCACCCCCTGCCACCAGCCTGCCAGGTTACGCGGGCAATACGGGGCTTGTTTCTCTCCCCACGTTTTAGCTCCGAAGAACACATAAAGGAATGACATATTTGCCTTTACCCTTTCCTATGTGTCTCCTGGTGTTTTCTATTGTTGAGTTTCTGTTTACATTAGAAAGAAGTCCAAGACAGAATCGATTCCTGTTATTTGAAGGGTCTGTGAATCCATCGATAAGCACGCTTCGGGAGGAGGCCTGGAATGTCTCCCCAACCCGGTTGTTGAGTTCATAGTAGGCGACTGAGCACCAGTGTTGTGGTTCCTCATAGCAAACTGGCCGAAAGTCTGGAAGAAAAAGAACCAGAGAGCACATCACTCCCGTCATGCCCGGATTCCCATCTCACGATCCCACCTGGACACTTACATTCATGCTGTTAACCAGGAGAGGTGGCTGCCAGACGAGGATGCTCTTCGTGATCTTTCCAAACCTGTCACTTGATGAAAGATCTGTGTGGTGAGCTCATCTGGTCACCACACGTGAGGCACAGAGGCCCCGATCCCTGTGACTCTCCCATGGCTAGAGCATCTGTACTCATATGTATTAGTATTGGGAGGGTGTGACAAACAACGCTATGAACAGATCAATGTAAATCCCATCACCCCGAGAGGAGACAGCCCCAAGGAAGGGGGCAGGTCACCTCCTCTCTACATGTGAAAGAGAGGGTATTACTGTCACTGGACCAAACGGAATCCCGGTGACAAGAGTATCATTTTCTAACAAAGGATGAAAAATGATAGTTTGGATATGATGAAAGCCAAATCAAAAACACTGGACAGGACTTTAAATTATTTAAGAAAGAAAAAAAAACTTCCACATAGAGTCACATTCTCCATTGTATACATATGTCATAAATACTTCTAGGTCATAAAATATTTTAAAGACAGCTTTATGTTTCATTAGGAAATCCATGAACGTTATGTTTTCACGTCAAATTTTTCAACGCTAAGTAAATTGCCAGTAACCAACCAAAGTTCAGAGTTCTTTCTTTGCCACCCACATTCTTTCTCTGTCTTTTGACTGATTATATTAGCTCTCTTTTCTTTGAATATTCTTGTAATATTTGTATCTACAGTGTGTTCCTATGTGCACTAAAACATAAATTTATGAAAAATTTAGGGGTTATTATTTGATTTACAAAAGGATCTTTACTTACAAAAGACTTCACCCCCGGCAGACTTGAAATCGTAAGCTCCGTTAGACCCTCTCTACTCAGTGTGGTTCCTGAACGGCTCTGCCTCACCTGGGAGCTTGTGAGGAATACAGATTCTTGGATCCCACCCCAGATCTAAGGACTCCAAATCTACATTTGCCTAAGATCACCCTGTGGTTTATATGAACATTAAGACTGAGCAACATTTGGGGCACCTGGGTGGCTCAGTCGTTAAGCGTCCGCCTTCAGCTCAGGTCATGATCCCAGGGTCCTGGGATGGAGCCCCGCATCGGGCTCCCTGCTCGGCAGGAAGCCTGCTTCTCCCTCTCCCACTCCCCCGCTTGTGTTCCTGCTCTCACTAACTGTCTCTCTTTGTCAAGTAAATAAATAAAATCTTTAAAAAAAAAAAAAGACTGAGCAACATTTATTTACCTAGCCTATTTTAAGAAACAGATACAATTCTGTAAAAACCCTATTTACATATTTATGTATATTTCTAAGAGCACCCCTCTAAGCTAAATCAAAGACACCACTACAAAACTATAGTAGAAACACAACTGGGACAAAATTGCTAACTCAAATACCCATTTCTGTACTAAACATCAAGAACTACAAATGTCTAAATGTTAGGTTAGAATAAAAAATTAACTTATTCTAGTAACCAGGATGATAAACAAACATTCACTCTATGGTGCTGAGGAACGCCAAAGTTAAAATGCAAAGCCATGCTATCTGCCCCTTCAAAGACATGTGAAATAGCAGGCTAGCACATTTTTTTTTTTTTAATTTGTTTTGTTTTGGGGTAATAGGAAATGCTCTTGGAAAACAGCTACATTGAGCTGTTCATCTACAAATTTACCTCCATTAGGCACTGACAGCACTAAATGACTATCAGCTGTGGCATCTACGGGTCGGCCATTCTGGGTCCCTGGGGCTCCTGTGGCATGATAAGGCGGGGGTGGTGTGTCAACTAAAAGAAAGCAGTAAAACAGAAGCATGTCAAACTGATACACTACACAAAGACAGTCAGATCCAACCTTTCTTGCTGTGAAACTCCTGGGCTTGGTACATAGGGTTATTGCTCGAGAGAGGCCAGTCATGTCATAAGGCTATTCTGCAGTGACATTGTGTCACACAGAAGCTATCGGTTGTCCTGACACCCTCACTAAACGGTTGATTAGTTTTCCCTCTGACTTAGGAGTTATCTCAGAGTTTTAAGTTCCAGTGACTGCATGATAAGATTTTCAAATCAAGGAGCTATTCTCCTAGCTTTCTCAATAGTGCAGGGGTCTGTTGTCTGGCTTTCAAAACAGAAAGCCAAACCTTCTTTGAGCTTAGTTTTTTAAATTCCTGTTGTCATGGATTGTACAACGGCCACAGGGATGCACTGTCTCTGAGATTGTTCCAAATACACCCCCAAAATGCACAACAGCTGAAACCTGATTATAACCTTGTGCCCAAAGCATGCGGAGAAGGGCTCCCCTCCCCAAATATCAGTTCCTGTAATTGGACAGTGATCATGGTTAGGCAAATGCTGTGCATTCAGTAGATAATTTCGTATCAGAAAGTAATTCGCAACACAATAAAAACTCCTGCAGGAGAGGGAAAACTCTTTAGTGAGAACCTCAGAATAACTGAGCCCTCCTGTATACATTCCTAATGTCAGTTCAGAATCGACTTGTTACATTAGCAGTGGGTTGAGTTCAGTGACATGAAAAGTTGAATCAGTCTGCTTTTGTTGAATTGAATTTTGTAGTTCCCACACTTAAGTGTGCATAAAAATCACCAGTGAAACTTGTTAAAGATGCAAATTCCTGGTCCCACCCTCAGAAATTCTGAGTCTGGAGATCAATTGTTGGGTGTAGCCACGTACATTTGCCAGGCACTGCTGGCAATTCTAAAACAGACCACATTGTGTGACCATGGATAGGCATTTCCTTGTGAGAAAATAAACTACGAGCCTAGTGGAAAAGGTATAGAGCAAGGTGGCTCTTCTGCAGGTCCTTGAGTATGTCTATCTATAAAACTCAGAGTTTGAACACAGAGTTACCATATCACCATATCTGCTCCTAGGCATATGACCAAAGGAGCTGAAAGCAGGGACTCAAGCAGGTGCTTGCATGCCAGTGTTTAGAGCAGCATTATCCACACTAGCCAAAAGGTGGAAATAACCCAAATATCCATCAACCAATGAATGGATTTTTTTTAAATGTGGTATATCTATATAATGGAATATTATTCAATCACAAAAATGAAGTAAATAACACAGGCTAACAACATAGTTGAACTATGAAAACACTATGCTAACTGAGATGAGCCAGATACAAAAAGACATATATTGCATGATTCCACTTTGAGGTACCCAGAATAAGCAAATTCATAGAGACAATAAGCGGACTGGAGGTTGCCAGGGGCTGGAGGAGGGGGGAGAGGGAGAATTGGGAGCTACTGCTAATGGGTACAGAGTTTCTGTTTAGGTGGATGAAAAAATTTTGCAAATAGATGGTGGGGATGGTTGCACAGAACTGTGAATGTCCTTAATGCCACTGGATTGTACACTTAAAACGGTTAAAACGGCAAATTTTATATGATATATATCTTACTGCAACTTTAAAAATTAATGTATGAAAACCACTACATTGCACACTTTAAGTGTGTGGACTGTATGATATATGAATTATATCTCAATAAAGCTGGTAAAAAAAAATTAAGGGGCTGAACCAATTAATTTCAGAATCTCCTTTTAGTCTCACTCATCTAAGGGTCTGTTATTCAGGTTGCATTTTGCTGTTAATCGTTCAGAAAAGAATTATTTTCTTTGAAATTAAAAGAGCCATTCCCTCCATGAAAACTAACCAGCTTCCGCAGGGGTGTTGGGGTCCATCCTTCATGGGTGGGAAGAGGGAACAATATCAACCTGTTAGCTTCACCAGTGCAGGAAGACAAGCTCAGTACAGGTGATCTTTATAGCACAGATAGGTTTCAAGTAAATACGTATTCTGTGACATAATTATCCTCCTGTCCCTTAGCCACGGCTCTGTCTTCAAATGACTTCTCTCCCTGTTGTGTCCCTTTCTCGGTGAATCCGGCCCCTTGTAAGACGGCAACCATCTCCCCCTCTCCCCGTGTGGAATGACCCCTGAGGAGTCTACCTCCTCAAATTCATTGTCTTCTCTCCATCCCCACATCCCTTCCTTAGCTCACGTCCTTATCGTTACCTGCCCGGACCGCGACAGCCTCGTTGCTTACTTACATGATTCTTCTCAACAGTTATTACCTCTTGAAGGTCAGAAACTATTGTCAGAATCAATCATCATTGTACCCCCTGCAGTAGCACAGTGCCTGGCACTTAGCAGGTGCTCAGTCATTACTCACTGACTCAGTAACATCAACAGCTATAAGCCTGAGCTCTAGCCCAGTTCCAAATGCCTGTGTGGGGATTCGTTTACTCGGCAATCAACTGATGAGCAACTACTGTGTTTTAGGGTCTGTGCAACACATGTAAAAGAGAAGATGACTGGCAGTCGAATGGGGGAGATATACAATGAGGAATTATATAATGCAGTGTGATAAATGCAAGAGTAGATGTGTATGAATATAGTTGCTGTATCGCTGAGAGGGCAAAAGGAAGAACTGACTAACTCAGAAAGGAGGCAGCAACTCCTTTTCTGTCTTCCCACATTTTGTAAGTTCTGTGAGGACAGGGACAATTTTTACCAATCTTTTAATCCTCCTTTCAGCTCCCTAAGGCAATGCTTGTATATAATAAACGTTCCATAAATAGCTGTTAAATAAAGGAATATATGCACACATGAATGAGGAGGCACATTGTAACATCTAGCACCAAATGAGCTTATGCATGCCTCGGAGAATTTGTCACTCAGGATATGGTTTAGCTCACACATATGAGGTGCATATAAATCTTTTCTTCATGATCTAACTTAGACCCACTTTACAGGCGTCGCAGCACATGGAACTGTGACAATGTGCTTGGTTCTCCCTTTGGCACAGGATTTCCCTTCCATAGGTTTTTTCAGCTCAGCAAGCGTTTACTGAACAGCTCCATCTTCAGGATGCTGTGCTGACTTCACACAACACAAAAGGAGACTGCACTGGCTAGGGGAGCCCTGACTCTGCCCCAGTGAAGTTAGGCATACTTCTTTTGGAGGTAGGGACTTCCTGTGTTTATTCAAAGAGACAGCCAGAAAAAAGGCCAAGCAAGGACCCCTCACATTGCTTGCCCTCAGGCCAAGTCTTCTTGCTTGGGTTAGAGAAGTATTTTATAACCTTATTTCTGCTACCTTAAAAAAAAAAAAAAAAAAATCCCTGGAAATTCCCAGAGACGCTGTTCAAACCCATTTAGCTTCTTCCAGAGGATGAGAACCAGAAACCAGAGCAAAGATATGTTGTAGCTCCAGAATAACTGCTCCCAGATGGCCCTGATCTTAGAGGAGGGCAGGGTCTGAAGGCCCACAGGACATGGCCATGTAAACGGCAAAGCTCCGTATGAACGTAAGAGTGATTGTAATTATGATGGTCCCACCGTAATTGATCGTGTTGGCTCATACCCCATGTGGACGGACAATGGCTTTTACTGACCTGAGTGTTGATAGGGGCTCTCTGGCTCCGAGGGACTTCCTGGGGAGTGAGGGTAGCCGGCGGTGCATGGGGACTGTGAGAACACGTGCCCGGGCCCGGGCGAGGGAGGGAAGGCAGAGCACGGAGGCTGCTGGAAAGAGTCCGGATAGATGGCGTTGTGCGGCATGAGAGGCTCACTGTGGAGGGAGGCGCTGCGGAACTTGGCCAGAAGGCTGAGCTGGGGGTTATATTCACTGTGCCTTGGCACGAGGACAGGCGGCAGCACTAGGATGAGAAAGGACCCAGTGGATTAGAACTGAGCATTGGCCCGTTGGCACAAAATCCAGTGGATGCTTGCTGTTTGTGTCTGTCCATTTTTTCATGATAAAACTCTGTTTTCTGGGAACTGCCCATCCACTATTCTTTGTGCTTACTGTAAAACTGCCAATTAAGGTCCCATCATTTCCCAGAAAGTGAGCTGGTGAAGCAAGCTAAACACCAATGTTTAGCTCTTAAACACTCTTCTTGCAAACTGAATATTAAACAGAGTGTCACAGTAAAAAGTTTAGAGGAGAATCATTCTGATGTCAGCACTCTAAATGGACTGCCTATTCATTCCTACCACAGAAATTACCAGAGCTGCCCTATTATCTGGCCTTCTGCAGGCCTAATTGTTTGTGTCTTCCTTTGATTCTGCCAATAAAGTGGTTTGTTCTTTTTTTAAGGCAAAATTGGTTTCTAAGTGATGCCCAGAATATTTTTCTTTCAGAGACACGTTGAATTATTCAGATGGCCAGCCTAAATTTCAGGCTCAGTAGTGCTGCTAAAGTAAAAAAAAAAAAAAAAAATCATCTACTTGTCTTTACCAGAAAGATCTAAAGGTACCTAAAAATTATTAAGTAAAATATAAACAGAGCGTAATAAAAGTGAATAAATAAAAGATAAGCATCAATAAGAAAACTTGTAAATAAAGCCCTATGTATGTTTCTTCTGGGTTCCATACTTTAAAAAAAAAAAGTGTTTTTGATCCTGAATCTATATACAAAAAGTTAGGAATGGATGCAATTCTCAATGGCAAGTATTATCCAGGCCTTCCTAGTTCCTATTGACTTTTAAAGTGTCACAGTGCCTGGCAGAAAGAAGATAATCAATAAATTGCAACCTGTGACCAACGTAAGTTCCAGAAAGAGAAGCAGAGAAAACAGGGAGGAAGTGGTCAAAGGCAATTGCAAAGCTCTTCTAAGGGAAAATAATTCTTACCCCAGCTCCTATGATGGAAACCAGTACAATAGCCAAAAAATAACATAAACCATAAACTAAAATATAGATATCAGAGATTTAAAAACAGTGAAGAAGTTAATATAAGTTAGCTAAATCTTTTATATTAGTCAGTGAAATTATCTCAAGGTGAAAAGTTTAGAAACAGATATATAAGCATATTATGTAGGATTACCTCCATAATTTCTAGTAATTAATGTATAAATATATTGTCTAGGTGTATAAATATGTTATCTAGAGTTATCTCCGTAATTTTTAGTGATAATGGAGGGGACATGTAAAAGAACTAGCCAAGAATGATTAAAAGAGGTTGTTTCTGGAGATGGATGGGCTAGCTCTTGTTTTTAACAACACTACTGATTTGTTACCACATGCAAGTATTGGTAAAAACTTTCATAAAAAATAAATGTTTTGGAATAAACAGATGACAACGACAGCGACAAAATCACAATAACATCGGTCACAAAGCCTACCACTTCCCCGCCATCATACATTTACCTCTTTCTTAACAAGCAACAGTCTTCTGTTCTACAGGTAGAAAATAAACTCAAACAGGTAAATGACAAGTTTTAAAACTAACGACCACAGTTGAGGGTGGCAGAGAAGCAAATTATTTCTTCCCCCTTTAAAAGCCAGTATGTGCATCTACGTGTGTAATATATGACATTACAGAACACTCAACATCATCATCCAAAAATGAGCTGGATGATAAGCCGTCACATTTCCTTTTATGTGTTCCATGAATATGGAGGAGTAAAAAGACGACCTGCTTCATGAATAGTCTGAAAAGGAGGGCCCGACAGAGTAAATGGTATATGGCTTCTTCTGCAATGACACTTCTTCATCACAATGCTAACATGGTTCAAACAAACACTCATTTTTCTTTTTTGGATGAAGAAGAACTGGAATAATCTCTGTGACTTCAGTTGTACCGTAAAATATCTATAGTGTATTCCTAACATTGTTAAACATAATGCCTCACACCCTCTGAATGCAGAGACTTCTATTTCTTCATGGGCCGGAGATCTGAGACATTAAAAGAAAAAAAAAAGGGGGGGGTTAGTTTTCTTTGTTTGAAATAAATGTCTTCATAACGTATTTTTACCATCCACGTAAAACCAAAGGCAGTGATTTCTGTAAAGAAAACCGATGGTATCATCCTGGTTGTTATTTGGCTTGACTGGCTAGTTTACCTTAGATTTGCCCTGATCATATTTTTAAATACTTCCACTCCAAACATAGCTGTCTTAGTCCATCTGGGCTGTTATAATAGAAATACCATAGAGTGGGTGGCTTATAAACAATAGAAATGTATTTCTCACAGTTCCAGAGGCCGGAGTTCTGGGGAAAGCTCTCTTTCAGGCTGCAGACTGTGATCTTTTGTGCCCTCACATGGTGGAAAGGGATGAGGGATCTTTAAGATGGGGGCCTCTTTAAGAAAGGCACTAACCCCATTCGTAAGGATCTGTCCTCATGACTGAATCACCTCCTAAAGCCCCCCACTTCCTAGTACCATCACCTTAAGCATTTTTGGTTTTCAACATATGAATTTGGAGGGGAGGGCATAAACGTTCAATCCATAGCAATAGCTATTCTTAATTATTAAATTCTATTTCTAGATCATAACTGCTGCTTACAAATATGACATAGTGAGATTACAGACATTGGTTTCAATTTTATGCCACCTTTTAAATATAACACTATCTTAACAACTAAGCATTACATGGGGGAGAACAGTGGCAGGAGTTACTCCGCATATGGGGTGCAAAGCAGAGCTGAAAAAGCTTTTGTATCTCTTTCAAAAGTCATGTGGTTTTTATATATGGGTATTTTATGTAAAGAAGAAATTATACTCCTGAAATAAGCTCCAGTTACATAGAGTAAAATCATCACACACTACAAAAACACTTTTTGCATAGAAGCTACAAGACACAAGCCATGCAAAGTGAGATTTGGGGACTGGTAACACTTAACCAGATGCTAGGTACCAGTCAAGGAAGATACAGTATTGAAATTGAGAGTGAACGTTTAGAAACTTTAATAGCAACTTGACAGAGTAATTTTATATCTGTTAAAATGCAGATATAAAATATATTGTTATAGTAAAAAAACAAAACAAACCTAGACTTGCATTTGTAAGTCTTCTTAAAATTTCATTTGTCTAGTAATTCATTTGTATTACAAAAGTATTGATATTTAAAGGATTGAAAATTTAAAAATTAAAACTTGACCTTCACTACAGATAGTTAGAAAAGAACTTAAATAAATGATATAAATGGTTGTGTGAGTAAAAAGAAAATCAGAGTGCAGCCTTCAATGGTCCTAAAATGAGGGGTGGGGGTGTCAAAATATTTGGATTTCAAATGCAAAACTTAATTAAGCTTTATGGTAACTAGGAACCCAGTAAACTCACTTAATATTAGCATCCTCACTGTTCTCAAAATATTTACTTTAAACATGGCCAGAAAGTTAAATATAAATTTGCTTTTTCTAATAAAAAAATCAAAGTTAGGAATAAAAAAATCCTGGATGGCTTAAATATTACCTTAAAATTAATACAATCTCCACCCATCTTTCATTTTGGAACCTCAAACCTAAACTATGAAATTTTTGTTTCAAAGATTTGAGTTATATTAAACATTCAGAATATACCCAATGAAAAAAATGTTCATTAAGAAATCATCTCTGGGGCGCCTGGGTGGCTCAGTTGGTTAAGCGACTGCCTTCGGCTCAGGTCAAGATCCTGGAGTTCCTGGATCAAGTCCCGCATCGGGCTCCCTGCTCGGCAGGGAGTCTGCTTCTCCCTCTGACCCTCCCCCCTCTCATGTGCTCGCTCTCATTCTCTCTCTCTCAAATAAATAAATAAAATCTTTAGAAAAAAAAAAAAACCTGCATTCCTGTAGCCACAAGAACACTCAATCCAAATAGAAATGGAGTCAAACTCTTACAGCCAGTGTGAAGGACAAAGGTAACACCAGACTTCAAAAAGGGGGGGAAATATGTGCCCACGCACACACATATGGGTGTGTGAAGAGTTTCAGAACGATACCTTCTTACATTTAAAGCCACATTTAAGAACGATTGCCAATCCCTCCTAGCCCCTGGTGCTTTCCTTCCTAGGAGGATTTCCAGCAGTTCTTGCATCGGCTGTTTGCAGACCCAGGGAGAAATACTTCCATGTACCTGAGCTCGCGCAGAGTGGCAGTGAAAACCCTTCTTTAGCTTAGTCCGGTTTCATTGAGGGAGAGAGGATGGGAAGGAGGATGTTTATTTTTTACAGTTAATCATATCAAGGCCGTATTAAGACCTTCGAAGACCCCAAGAACTAGAAAAACATTGACGATGATAACTCTGAAATACATCCAAACTTCATTTTTCAAAATCACACAAAACTTACATGTATACTGAAAGTACCTTCTTTCTAGATTTTTCTGACTATAAAAGTCTGGATTACTTCCTCAAAACTGAACCTTTCCCTCTTCCTTTTCTTTTGGTGGCGGTGGTGGGGGGTCTTTGTCTTGCTGATGCCCCATCACTCCTCATCAACTGGGATACAGTTTCTCAACTTTTAAAATAAACCGTGATTATCAGGGAGAAAACTCACCTGGAGTCTCCACCCGGCGGTAGTGATAGGGGTTAATGCACACCTCTTTCTGCTTGGAGCCAAATGGGAACTCACAGCACTCCAGCGACTTCAACTCGTGGTGAGACTGGAGGTCAGGCCAGCGCCACACTCGGCAATAAATGACATGGGGCAAACCCTTGCGGTGGGACACCTGCAGCCGCCCGTCCAGGGACCGGGGAATTGTCACGCATTTGCTGGGCTGCCCTGGACAGCTGAGGGCCCTCTCCAGCTCATCCATGGCTCCTTTCTTCTTCTTTAATTTCTTCACTAACGAGTCTACCGCCTTCTCTGCCCACTTTTCCTCTTCATCTCCTTGCTTCCAGCCTAGCAGTCTCTTCACTGCTGGGCTAGTGAAGGAGAAGAGGGAGCTGATGGGGGTGCTGGAGTGCATAAGAGGTGAACTGCAGGTGTCCAAGGCAAACAGGAACTGGATAGACAGCCCGTTATTGCCTGCAGGGCCTGAGGGATGATTGCAGCAAGTAACACTCCAGGGATGTCATAGGTAAGAACTCTCCAGGGATGTCATAGGTCTTTCTTTTCTTCTGGAAGTAACTGACCAATTGCAGTTGGGAACTGGGTTGACTTTCTCTTAGGCTCTACAAGGGGCTGGCCAACTCTGAAAAAAAAAAAAAAAAGCAAGACAAAACCCTAATTAGCTTTATTGGGATAATTTTCAGAAAAAATTAAAGGTCGGATATAAGGGAGAAAGTACTCTTCAAATGTTTTAGACTTAAAAACTCTTAGTCATCTTTGACTCTTCCCTTTCTACATCGCCTTACCAAGTCTTGGTAATTCTGCTTTCAAAATGTCTTTCAGATTTTGAAATTTCCTCTCCATTTCCACCAATACGTGAGGCCTAGCCCACCTCACCATGCTCCTGGATTACTGCAACAACCTCTGAAGTAGCTCCTCTCTTCCCATTCTAATCAATTTACTCCCCAATACAATTTTTACCGAGTCATTTTCCTATTTAAGAAATTACAGAGGCTCCTTCCTTTCCCGAGTATAAACTTCTCTGCCTGGATTTTGAGGGTCTCTATAATCTTTCCTCAACATGCGCAGGCTTCTTCCTTTCTCAATTAGAGTTTGTACAGGTAATCCATCTTCACTGTTGGCAAATATATATAAATGGAATAGAAAAAAAATGAGGACACTAATAATCTCACCACTTATATATATTCTTCTAAACTACTTTATAGGACAGTGGTTTTCAAAGGACCAGAGAGTTCTCATTGGGGGCCCCAAGGTCCTATCTTTTCTTCAACTTAAAAAAATTTATCACAACAGATGATATGCAAAAACAGGTATGAGAATCCAAGTGTCATCTCTTGTACCAGGAATTAAAGAGATTTGCAGAGATATAAAACTGTAGGCTCCCTGCTCGGCAGGGAGTCTGCTTCTCCCTCTGACCCTCCTCCCTCTCATGCTCTCTGTCTCTCATTCTCTCTCTCAAATAAATAAATAAAATCTTTAAAAAAATAAAATAAAATAAAACTGTAACAGTCTTTTCAATAATTCTTTTTAAATACTGTTTTTTAAATAAAAATGTTTTGTTAATATACAATGGGTTTATCATTCTCTTTTAATGAATCAATAAATATTTTTAAGTTTCTCAGTCTTAATTCCCAAAATGGTAAAGATTGATAGATTTAAACTGCATAAACAAAGGTTCTTTGAAGTTCTCAGTAATTCTTAAGAGTAGAAAGGCGTCATAAGACCAGAAAGTTTGAGAACTGTATTTTTTAGAAGTTCTCTGTGTGTACAGTCATGGTACATAAACATGTACACAAAAAAGTATTGCTGTCACACTTGTTATTCTGCCTGAAAATCAGTTGAATGCTTCTTGGCCCTGTCATCCAAAGGAGACATTCTTTCCCAGTTATTCAACAGTCCCATTTAAATTTCCTGAGGTAGAACCGTACAAGTAATCCATCTTCACTGTTGGCAAATATATATAAATGGAATAGAAAAAAAAATAGGACACTAATAATCTCACCACTTATATATATTCTTCTAAACTTCTTCTGTGAAATAGTTGGCTGAAACAAAACCCTCTCTTTCCAGATTTTGGAAACCGAGCTACCTTATTAGCGTTTAAAGTACCTGTTTGTAACATTTTAGAGCAAGCAAACTCATTTTAGTATTTTAGAATCAATCTAGCTCGAAATCTCTAACGATTGCTTGCTTAGTATGCAGTAAGTATCATTTTCTCTTCTGCTTCCCTGGACAGAAATTTGTACCTGAGTACAATTATCTAATCTTCTCCCAGGGCGCCTGGGTGGCTCAGTCAGTTGAGTGTCTGCCTTTGGCTCAGGCCACGATCTCAGGGTCCTGGGACGGAGCCCTGCATCAGGCTCCCTCCTCAGCAGAGAGCCTGCTTCTCCCTCTCCCTCTGCTGTTCCCCCGGCTTGTGCCCTCTCTCTCTCGCTCTCTCTCTGTCAAATAAGTAAATAAAAAATCTTATATAAACTTCTCCCAACAAAAGTGCTACATAAAGCCCTGCTGTCATGATCGGTGCCAGGCACCCCCAGGGGAGGAGGATGTCAGCCGGGTTACACACAAATTGATGAGTTTGATAAATATAAAGCAACACCTGCAGCATTTATTCTTCACATAGACTTTATTTAGCATGGTATAGAGAGGTAAACTCTGACGCAAAGGAGACTTGAGAGCTGGGTTTTCTCACTTGGCAGTTTGACTTATACTCAGTTTTATTTGGAAAGGTTGATTTTGTGGCTTAACGATCCCGAATTTATAAAAAATAGTTAAGTCACTGTGTTCAAGTTCTGTTTATTTAATCAAGACAGGCTGCCTTGGGACACATGGGTGGCTCAGTCGGTTAAGCGTCTGCCTTCGGCTCAGGTCATGATCCCAGGGTCCTGGGATCGAGTCCCGCATCGGGCTCTCTGCTCCGCGGGGAGCCTGCTTCTCCCTCTGCCTCTGTCTCTCATGAATAAATAAATAAAATCTTTAAAAAAAAAAAAAAAGGCTGCCTTAAAGCAATGGTTGAAGAGGATTAGGAGAGGATTAGGATTACGATGCAGAATAACCTGAACCCCCAAAGAGCTTCGAATCTGCTTAGTTTTACATGGGACTTTTATGAATAAATTGTGAAATAAAGCTTTAAGTTTAGGTCAGGGATAGATAAAAGCTTTTTATAAAATGTTCAGCAACGTTAAACCAAATACACCCTTTAAAAAAATGTTTGCTCCGTGAGACAAATAACGGTTCTCTAAACCGGGGTTCACTGTTGTTTTAAACCATGGGTTCCTATCTATTAATGACACGTGAAATCAGTTTGGTCAAACAAAATAGCTTTTGTACAACAAAATAGACTATATTACAGTGCAGCTTACAAAGAAAGGGTATTATTTCATTAACACCTTCATTCACAGGTATGTGCACTGTGTGAGTGTGTATGGACGTACACGCGCATATGCTGAGGGTCACCGTGCAACTGGCAATGCACAATGCAATGCAATTTGCTACTGTGGGTTACAATCAAGAAAGACAGAAAAACACTACCCTTAAACCAGAGATCCTCAAACCATGTGTGTTTGAGGTTCACCTTGATGAGTGACTTCCTGGGCCACCATCTCTCCTCATCCCTTGGGGAAACACACAAGACTGGTCAAGAATGTAAGGTCTGTGGAACCCTGGCTCTGCAGTCTGATCTCACTGCCACATTTGGAATCTTCATAATAGTCTCAAGTGGCTCCAGAACTATGCTTTTATTGCTACAAAACCCAGTGCCTGCTGCATTACACAGAGGCCCTGGCATGGAGGGAGACCCCAATGAGTCAAATTCAGAATCTCAGAGTATTTAACAGCCTCTGGGTATGGAAGAAAGAGGATAGAAAATATCAAAAAGTTAAGGTTTAGTAAAGCTGATGGGTGGGTATGCAGATGTTCAAATAATATTCTCTACACTTGCTCCTATGTTTGATATATTTTTTAATAGAAAAAGTAAATTCAAAGAGTGAATCGGACCTGGACTCTCACTAAGGTTTCAGTTCCTATTTGTCCAGGGTACCACTTAAGGCTCATTAAGCTATTCCATTCTCACTCATATAAAGTTTTCGCCACTAGTAGAACAAAGGGCCCCTTGTTTATTTCCAGCTGGCCATCACACTGACATCAACAGTGTAGCCAACCACCGCCCCAGCCCCGCACCCCCTGCAAGCTTGTTTAGTAGTGTCAACCTGGCTCAGAACAGCTTTCCACTGTCAGATAATTTCAATGCCCATAGACTATCTGCTCAAACTTACCATGACTTCCCGAAAACACCACTGCCCAGGCTCACCCTAATAAGTAAAAGAGAGCACTCCCAGGGAGGTTATTAAAAAACAGTTCCACAAATAGGAGGGGGTTTGTTAATATTGCTTATAGTTACTTTATTCGTATAATGTACAAAGAAGAATGAAAAACAAAACAGACTATAAAGATGAATGTATGTGAAGGATTTATAAAGAAAAACCTGACCAGATAATTTCTGCAAAATCTAACAAGAGCTATGGAAGAGAGATGCTAAAGGTGGTTACACGAGGAAGAGTCCTTGGCCCAAGCCTGGGGCTTCTAGAAGGATTTTGGAGATGATAACTGAGTTGCACTTAGAAGGATTTAGGTCACAGTTAAAAAATAAACTAACTTAGCAGATTAGGATAATTTTCTACTAATTCTTTTTGTGATTAAATTCTCACTTTCCTAAGAAAACTGTCTATCCCTTGCCACAAACCAACTATGTGGTCTCTCTGGGCCCCCTCATTTCCTCATCTGCAGATCAAGGGGTGCTCACCCTCAGTGTAAGGGTCTGTCTGGGCAAGAGTTCCATGACTCCAAGGTTGTTGTTTTTTTAATTTTTTCTATTTTGTTTTGTTTTGTTATGTTATGTTAGTCACCATACAGTACTTCATTAGTTTTTGATGTGGTGATCCATGATTCATTGTTTTCACATAAGACACAGTGCACCATGCAATATGTGCCCTCCTTAAGACCCATCACCGGGCTAACCCATTCCTCCACCCTCCTCCCCTCTAAAACCCTCAGTTTGTTTCCCGGAGTCCACAGTCTCTCATGGTTCATCTCTCCCTCTGATTTCCGCCCCTTCATTTTTCCCTTCCTTCTCCTAATGTCTTCCATTCTATTCCTTATGTTCCACAAATAAGTGAAACCATATGATAATTGACTTTCTCTGCTTGATATATTTCACTTAGCATAATCTCCTTCAGTCCCATCCATGTTGATGCAAAAGTTGGGTATTCATCCTTTCTGATGGCTGAGTAATAGTCCATTGTGTATGTGGACCATATCTTCTTTATCCATTCATCTATTGAAGGGCATCTCAGCTCTTTCCACAGTGTGGCTATTGTGGACGTTGCTGCTATGAACATTGGGGTGCATATGGCCCTTCTTTTCACTACATCTGTGTCTTTGGGGTAAATACCCAGTAGTGCAATTGCTGACTCCATGGCTGTTGGCAGTACCTGACACGTGGGACAGTGTGACTCATTTAGCTGCCATTGACGCTACATTGCTACTCCCCTCCCCCACCCACCCCCAGAATAGTCCAGTCTGAGACTGAAACCTTCATTCATGAAGCTATATTCTATAGAGCAGAGCAAAACAACAATTTTTTCCCCCACAGTTGTCAAATTGACCCTTTTTATAGCAAATGTCACCTACCAACACCACATGAACTTCACTTTTCTTTCCAGATTTTTGTTTCTTTCTAGCATTGTTTTTATTGCCACGAAGGAATGAGTGAAAATGTATGCTTGGCATTACTGTGTTTGACATCACTTGCAGCACCTTCATCAAGGACTTCATCACCCCAGATCTCCACAAATGCCATCTGTTGGCCATTAGAGCTTGCCTTCTGTGGACGGAAGGACAAAAGAACCATGCCCATCTCTCTTTTGGTTCACTCGTGGTCCACTTCATGCACAGCATGAAACAGGACTTTCTTTTTCGGGCATATGAGTTTTACAATAAACCCCAAATGAGGGAACAAAAATACTTCTCATTTTCAAGTTTTTAAAATAAACAGGACCACTTAAAAGAAGAGCAGCACTGACCACATGCAAACACCATGATTTAACTGTACATAATTCTACCTTAAAATCCAGTTTGCCAGGCTGGATAAAAGTTTGAGAGACACGAACCTTTCATTTTTAAGCTGTCAGTTTAAATCAAACTCTTGCTAGCAGTTACTCAAGATTATTTTTAATTACTGGCCTCCTTAGAAGAGTCAATTGGTGATTTTAATTCTGAAGAAAACAAAATTCAAAAAATTACCATTTAAGATGATTATGTTGGCTATCTGCCCTGGAGCATGCCTATGCACTGTACACAAAGAACCTCTGAACAATCCTTCATGGGCCCTGCTTCTTGGTCAGTGTGGCCAAGAAAAGTCTACTTCATCTACCAGGTTGTACGCTATAGTCAGCCCAGGGGATCAGGAGGCATTTGTCCATTCCGCAAGGGCCCACTCCAGAAACATTCACCAAGACAAAATGTTATTCTTTCATTATTTGCTTTTTTCATTTTTATTTATTTATTTATTTATTCATTTTTTAAAAAGATTTTATTTATTTATTTGAGACAGAGAGAATGAGAGACAGAGAGCATGAGAGGGAGGAGGGTCAGAGGGAGAAGCAGACTCCCCGCCGAGCAGGGAGCCCGATGCGGGACTCGATCCCGGGACTCCAGGATCATGACCTGAGCCGAAGGCAGTCGCTTAACCAACTGAGCCACCCAGGCACCCTTCATTTTTTAATCTTACCAATTTTGACCCTCTCATCCATGGTATCCCTTCTATAAAACAGTGTATTAACCAAATTCAGAACTAGAACACACATGCCAAAAGAACATTTAATCTCCTTACAGGAAAACACTGTTTCCTTGACTACTTTTATAAGCACTTTTTGTATACTAATAATTAATATGGTGATAACAGGTGCTTTAAAAGTATAAAAACAGATCCAAAAAATGTCTATCTAGAAAATAGTTGGCTTTTATTATCCCTATTGACACATATATATATATAGTTATTACTATATATATATAGTAATAAACACACTCACACTCAAATACATTGGATGTTTATTTCATTAATTTGACTTTGTCCTCACTTAAATTAGTCTGTCATCCCTATGTGTTTTAATGGCAATTACAAGTTTGCTTTGTAAAGTATAAATAACTACTCCATACACGCACCAGTTTAGTGTCACCAGATAAACATATCAGTTGTGTAAACATGGAAATGGTATCATGATTTCATATTCTGGGAAAGAGGCTTTTCTAGCTGTATTCAGAGTTTTCCTACAAATCCGTGAGAGGGCAATTCCTGTTCACAGTCTAGTTAGCTTCTTGTTGCAGGAGAGAATATCCTCTGACCACAGTACCAAAGGAAGCGACAGAGATGTATCTTTATAAAAGAAGCTCTATTCAAGAGGGCCATGGTGGGACTTCAGGTCATCTATTGGACATCTGAATTGTCTGCTCATTTTGAGTGATTGTGCATATATGGATTTTTCTAGAGAGAGAGTCCATAAGTATATTTCTTCAAATTCTTAACAGAACCTGGGACCTCCGAAAGGTTAAAAAAAAAAAAAAAAAAAGCACTGAGAAGAAAGAAGAAAAGAAGGTAAGAGAGAGAAGGGGAACAAGCTGAAGGGACTAAAGAGAGTTGTTGACTATTCGAAGATGGAGGAAAGCCCTAAAAAGACTAGAGTCGGAGGGTTTTGGAAAGATGCTGGAGTATGAAGCACCAGGAATCTGTCTCCCCATCTAGATGATGATTATTACACTAGAAAGATCTGTATTAACGTAACTATTCTGGAACTCTAGAACCAGTTGAAGGATTACAGCTTCCACAGGAAGGGCTGGATGGTAAATGTGGCTAATTTGGGTTAATTTCAGTTCTTACCTCAGTAGCAGTGACCAATACCCTACCCCTTGGCAGGCAACTGTGCATGTGTTCCTGCAGCACCCTGCACTCACTTTGTAGGAGCCAGGGAAGGCAAAATGGACCCTGTCCTTCGAACATCAGGGATCTGTGCTCTGACCACTGACTGCTGTTTTTTTGGGAGGGTAGCCACTGCAGTTGTACTTACCCCACACTCTTGCAAGTCTCTCCTCCTCTGGCTAAAGTGACTTCCGGGGCATTTAAATAGGGGCAGCACACTTCCCCCCCCCCTTCTTTTTTCTTTTTCTTCTTTCAGGAGCCAGACATTAAAGGCTAGGATATTCAAAAGCAATTGCATATTTGGGGAAAATTAGAAAGTGATTATGTATATCTAGGGAAAGGAGCAGGCTCAGAGAAGACTTGAGAAGACCTTGAATTTATACCTCAGGCTGATCCTTGGCACAGAAACAGCTTACAATATTAAAAAACAAAACAAACCAAAAGCAATAACAAAAACCCACAAGCCCTGGCAAAGGAAGAGAATCTGATTTCCAGATTTACCACATCATCAGATTCAGATGTTCAGGCTTTGACAACAACAAATCACAGGCATACAGAGAAATAGGAAAGTATGGCCCATTCAAATTAAACTGTTCTGGAGAAAGACCCAATGGCAGATCTACTAGACAAAGATGTTGACTCAACTATATTAAAGATGCTCAAAAAAAGACTAAAGGGATATTTAGAGAAATTCAAGAAAATGACATATGAACAAATGGAAATATCAATAGAGATAGAAAACCTAAAAAGAAACCAGTCAGAAATTCTGGAGCTGAGGGCGCCTGGGTGGCTCAGTCAGTTAAGCGACTGCCTTCGGCTCAGGTCATGATCCTGGAGTCCCGGGATCGAGTCCCGCATCAGGCTCCCTGCTCAGCAGGGGGTCTGCTTCTCCCTCTGACCCTCTTCCCTCTCGTGCTCTCTGTCTCTCATTCTCTCTCTCTCAAATAAATAAATAAAATCTTTAAAAAAAAAAAAAAAGAAAAAAAGAAATTCTGGAGCTGAAAAGTACAATAACAGAAATGAAAAATTCACTAAAGGGATGCAAAATGGGCCAGTAATATTCAAAGTGCTCAAAGGGAAAAACTATTAACCAAGAATCTTATATTAGGAAAAACTGTCCTTTGAGGGTGAAGGAGAAATTAAGACCGTCCCAATAAAGAAAAGCTAAGGGAGTTCATTACCACTAGACCTGTCCTGGAAGAAAAAGAAATGATCAAGGGAGTCCTGCAAGGTGAAATGAAGGACTAACTTGAAGCCATATGAAGAAATAAAGATCTAAATAAAGGTGAACACATGGGCAATTGTAAAAGCTAGCATTGCTGTAACAAAGGTTTATAACTCCACTTTTTGTTTTCTACATGATTTAAGAGACTAATATATATTTTTTAAAAAATATTAGTCTAAAAGCTAGCACTACTGTAACTTTGTCTTGCAACTCCACATGTAGCTTTCTGTATCATTTAAGAGACTGATCCACTTAAGTATTAGTTTATGTTTTGAGGAATACAATGTATAAAGATGTAATTTTGTGAACAACTGAAAAGGATGGGCCTGGAACAATAAAAAAGCAGAATTTTGTATGTTATTAAAGTAAACCTGGCATGAATTCAAATTAGAGTGTCATAACTTCAGGATGTTTAAAGCAATTCCAATGGTAACCAAAAAGAAAACAGCTAAAGAATATATACAAAATGAAATTAGAGAGGAATTAGGAATATTTCACTTAACAAAAAAATCAACATAACACAAAAGAAGAGAGTAATGCAGGAAATGAGGAACCAAAAAAGCTATCAGACATATATAAAATAAATAGCAAAATGGCAGAAGGAAGTCTCTCATTATCATTAATTACTTTAACTATAAATGGGTTAAACTTGCCAACCAAAAGACAGAGATTGGCACAAGAGTAGAGAATAAAAACACATGATCCAAGGAGACCCACTTTGGATCCAAAGACACAAACAGACTGAAAATGAAAGGTTGAGAAAAGATATTTCATGCAAACATCAACCAAAAGAGAGCAGGGTTAATTGTACTAATATCAGACCAAGTAGACTTTAATCAAAAAAGCTTACAAGAGATAAACAAGAACTTTATATAATTAATAAAAGACTATATATGGCAAGAAGATATAACAACTATAAACACTTATGCAAATAATGGCAGACCAGCAAAATTTATAAAGTAAAAACTGACAGAACTGAAGGGAGAACAAGACAGTGCTAGAATAAGAGTTGGAGACATCAATACCCCACTCTCAATAATGGATAGAACAACCACAGGAAACAGAGAACTTAACACAATAAACCAACTGGATGTAACAGACATTTACAGAACAGTCCACCCAACATCAACAGCACACCCACTCTTCTCAAGTGCATATGGGACATCTTCCATGGTAGACCATATGTTAGGCCACAGATTAAGTCTTAATATATATAAAAAGATAGATTTCATACAAAGTATCTTCTCTGACCCCAACAGGATGAAGTTAGAAATCAACAACAGAGGGCGCCTGGGTGGCTCAGTTGGTTAAGCGACTGCCTTTGGCTCAGATCATGATCCTGGAGTCCCGGGATTGAGTCCCACATCGGGCTCCCTGCTCAGCAGGGAGTCTGCTTCTCTCTCTGACCCTCCCCCCTCTCATGCTCGCTCTCTCTATCTCATTCTCTCTCTCAAATAAATAAATAAAATCTTAAAAAAAAAAAATCAACAACAGAAATAAAACTGGAAAATTCACAGATTTGTGGAAATTAAACAATACACTCTTAAACAAGCGATGGATCAGAGAAGAAATCACAAGGTAAATTAGAAAATATTTATAAATAAATGAAAAAGAAAATGCAAAACACCAAAACTTATGAGATGCAACAAAAGCAGTGTTAAGAGGGAAATTTATAGCTAAAAAC